TGATCCCTTCCGTGCGTCTCTGAGTTGGGTCTCGAGCTGGAGGAAGAAGGCGCTTCCAATATCTGTGTCTCTGCTTCCTCTGTTTCCTGTCCGGTTCCCACAGTGTGTGGTGTACAGCGAGCGCGAGTTGCCATGGCTGAGGTGTCTCCCGCGTTCTTAATCCCCACTCTGTTCCCGAAGCCTAGCAAGAAAACCCTCGAAAGACTCAAAGAAACCCTTTCCCCAAACTCAAAGTTCCTTAAATTCACTATGATCGGGTTCGCAATTCCCTGCGGCAGGGGCTTATTTCCACTCGAAGAGACTCAGTGGCTCACACTGAAAATTCGTCCAATCTTTCCCAAAGTTTTAACCGCCGCAGGGGGGTCTCATCCCCCCGATTTGATCTTAAATGGCCACGGTGATCGTGAGGCCTCAAGCCCCCTCCCCCTCACACACGTCCACCCACTCGCCCCCAGGGACTACCCCCCAAGGGCAAGACGGGCCGGTGCCAGGGTGTCCTCCCTCCGAGGAGAAAAGGACAGGCAGGAGACTTGAGCCAAAATGGCTCTCTCTCTCTCTCTCGTCACGGAGCCGATTTTCATAAATTCACACCTACCTCAACAATCAAACGACCTTTGGGAGCGTGTTGGATGGTCAGAGGAGACAGAAGAGGATCCCCGGAGGCTATTCAAATGCAACTAGCGCGCACCTTTTGCTCTGCAAGTGATGCCTGCGCCAAAGCAGCCAATGCTCCCATCCGACCCGCTCTGGGATGCCTGTCACAGCTGCGGCTGCTCATATTCCGTTCAAGGTGAGAGCATGCTGCCGAGACTCCGCTTCTTGTCTTCCTCCCTCTGCCTCTGCAACACTCCCGCTCGGTGCGGCGGCTGCTATTGCGTTTTCAATGCTCAACAAATTTGGAGGTGACTGATAGTGCACCGAAGGCTGCCCGTGTTTCCTGCTCCCATGAGTTGCTACTGTAACTTCCAGAGATTCGTGCAGCTCAAAACTCAAACGCCCACTTGTCACTAGTCCTTCTTAGCAGCTACTAAGGGGCTCACCACCAACAGAGTCCCAGTCAGCCCTTTTCGTCAAAAGCGTGTCATCCCAGTGGTCACGGCTTTCACCCCAGGTGAGTCAAATACTGTGCGAGCTTGAAAAACCCTGGCCGACTCCTAAGTCATCCTTTGTCCCCTGTCCCATGGCCCTGATGCGCTGTCAGCTGTCCCTTCACCTTCCTGCTGTCCGTTTGTCCAAGTTGTCGGTCCCGATTAGAAGCATTTGTGAAGCTTTGGGTGCTTTTCGTCAACAGTCCTCGCACGATGTTCAAAGTTCTTGATTGAATTGCTGGACATCCACAGGTCGTATGACACCTCGGGTGCCGCCACCAACAGCACAAGCGCGCTGTCCGCTTCCAGAATGCCCAAATCTCGAATGTACTTGAGAATTGCGGCTAGATGTACAACTGGCTGGGGGGGAGTTTGCTTGAGCCTCTGCTGGACGCACACTCATGCGCAACATGTCGAATTATAGAACCGCAGGCACGTAATGTAAGGAACAGTAGAACATGCGAGCATGATCTGAAGGCTAAATCTGGCGGGCACAGATGAACAACGCTCTTGCAGGATTGCCTCTGAACAGTCTCGAGTGTCCTTTGCTCTCCTTTAAAATGTTCTGAAGGGCAGGGAGACCATGGGAGGCCTCCTTTGTGAGGCCACTTAGGCCTAGGCCCTCCCCAGCAGCCCTTAAACTGTTGAAGTCAAAGCCGAAAGATGCCAAAAGCCAACTGCAGGCATCGCGACTGAGGCCAAGTCATTCCTGAACTACAACTAGCGCAAAGCTCCAAAGCGCCACACCACCACTGGCCAAGGGAGGGAAGCTTGGCCAGCGGAAAGGCCTTTGGATGCTGCGCATCTTGATTTCCCTGCATCGGCCGATTTCAGCGCCCTATGAAGCGCCCCCGCACAATGCTCCTGATGATGGGCGGTCACTCGAGCTGGTCTGGCTTAGGCGTCCGCTTGACAAATGAAGCCAGCTAACACTGCAGGGGCTGCTGTCAAATCCATTCCCATCATCCAAGCCCAGCTCACCAGGTCCCTTCGCAAATGGTCTGGTCTGCCCCTTGTACCCTTGGGGTCTGGACCAGCTCTTTGCCATGTGAAGTGGCAACTCTTCATGGCTCGCATCTGCCTGCGATGCTGATTCTCTGAGAACGGGGGCTTCGTTGACCTACCTTCCGCGACTACAGCGGGGAGGCCTCTGGTGCCTGAGCGTGAGGCCCTGCTTCTGGCTGACGCTCATTCATGCGCATCCTTGTTTTCTGCCTTGCCTGACGTTTGCTTCGCACGCACCCTACAGAATTAAAACGTGGAAACATGACACGTTCTTTGACACTTGCTTAGCTTTCGTTGGATTGAGTTTGACTGGATTGCTTGCATTACGTGTTGCGGGGCCCCTCCCTCGCTAGAATGTAATAAGTGTGACGCGCATAACACCAGGGGTCTGTGCTTCA